GTAAAATTAAAAGATATTTTGAATAAGTTGTAATAAATAAAAAAATAAATTATCGTGACAATCAGCATCATTAAGCTAAAATCCATTGAAGTTTATGTAAATCCAACTGAAAAAAAATTTAAAGATTGTTATGAAGAGGAAAAGTGTATATTAGAATTTCAGCTACATATTCGTTCCTTCTTCAACATGAATCAACCAGTTTCATCTTCCATCTTTACAACCCTCTATAACTTAGATTCAGTATTCTTTTGTTTTCGCTTGCTCATTTATAAACCAGGCTTCCAAATTTTTTTCATATTTGAACACATTGAATCCCAAATAAATCAAAATCAATAAGTAAAAAAAGTAAATGAAATTCATCATTTTACCGCAGTGTACTAGGCATTGACAGGTGTCAGTTTATGATCAGAATGATCAGAACTATAGTCCACTATGATGAAAATTCAGCTATGTAATGTCTAAGATCGTTTGAGTGATCTCCTATGTTATATTTATCTTTATCGTGTAATCCACCTTTGTTTAATATCTTTTTTTTAATTTGTGTTTTATTTTTCAATGCAAACGCATCGACTAAAATTGATACATTTGGTAAATGTGTCCACGAAGGAACGTATTTTCCTGAAGGATTTGTGTGGATCCACAATGAACACTTCAACGTCACTTGTCGCAAGGGACGCATAGAGGTTTGTTCGCTTTTTTTACTTTTCGCTTTAAATTCATACTTATCCGTTTGGTAAGAAATAACTAATTTAAAAAAAAAAACAAAAAAAACCAAGAATTGAAATAAATACATGTATATAAAATTTATAATATTATAAAATAATATAAAATAATTATATCTTTCCTTGACAGGAATAAACCTGTCATATCAAAAATCCGGATTTGCTGGGGACATAGCTGTAGCTCTATCCCCAAGTGCCTCTATGGTGAAAGGGTCAGATATTCTTGATCCGGCATCTGCGTCTCCCAACTGGCATAATCCTCTCAGCCGATGGTACATGCGATAAATATACAATCCGGGCTTAAAGCAATCCCAAGGCTGGCAGATAAAATGTGCTTGCAAGCTAGGACAATTGCTCGAAACCTATCAAGGGGAACAGCTCTCTGCAAGCGTGGCGAAGTTTTAGCCGCATAAGAGTGGAACGCTTATGGACGTTGCAAGCCAAGCGATCACTATCCACACCCTTTCTAAATATTGTGTGGATATCGCTTGCTTGTCGGAGGTCCGTCTTCCTAATTTCGGGTCTCGAGTGATTACTAATCCTGCCGGTAAGCGATCGTATGGCCTATCCCCGTTTTAAGGGTAAATTCTGCAATATCTCGGTCATCAGTGTCTATGCTCCATATGTCGATAGATGGCCGTGATAAAGATAAGTCCTATGTGGAACTGCCAAGTTTCTACCGAAACATGGTATGGTCATAATCGAGGGAGACTGGAATGTGCGCGTAAGCCGCAATGCTGCTGCGATGATCTCAACAACTGGTAAAGGTATCGGAGACCGGTGCGCCAATGGGGAACGCTTTCTTCGTTATGCCAAAGACCATGAACTTTTTATTACTAATACTAGCTTCCGGCACCGTAGAAAACATTTAGACACGTGGGATTCCCCGGATAACCAACACTTCAACCAGATTGATAATATCTTAGTCAGTCGCCGTTCGAAAAATTCCATATTAGATATTCGTTCCTACCGAGGCGCTGAAATGGGTAATCTTCGTGGATCTGACCATGTTATGGTTCGAGCCAAGATCCGTATAAAATTGACAACTCGCAGAAAACAGCATCCCCTGGACCCTTCAACTATTTCAGACTAAAAAATTCGTATCTGTTATCTATAAGCTTAAGGCCAATAAGACTCCAGGAGAAGATGGTCTTCGGGTTGAGCTTTTCAAATATTGTCCATCGTCTTTTAAAACGCACCTCAAAATTTACTCTTTAGTATAAGAAAAAGAAATATTACCAGATGATTGGAGCAAAGCAATTCTGCTCCAATTTTCAAGAAAGATGATAGGACATACTGCGACAATTATCGAGGAATCAACCTATTAGACGTCTCAGCAAAAATTTTTGCTTCCCTGCTACTCAACTAGACTTATGGAAGTATGGGACAGCAGGATGCGCCCTAATCAAGCTGGTTTCAGACCAGGGCGCGGTTGTGCTGACCAGATATTCACTTTAAGAGGGGTATAAAAAATAAATAATAAATTATTGATTGGAAGCAGTGGGATGATGCTCGTCTGCCACGCATTAATTATATTAGAATAATCTTGTTCCGACTGCTTTCTGAAGACATCAGAATAAAACCGCACGAATTGATAAAATCTTCCCTCAAACTTGGGTAATTAAACCGATTAATATATATTGATACAAAAAAAAAATATTGACGCAAATTAAACCCGGAGATTAAAAAGATAGCCAACTCAAAACAAATGAGGAATGATTAAATAATATAAAGCATGTAAAATAACAAAGTAAATTGAATATTGAAATAATGGGACCCAACCACTCGGGTCCCTTGATGGCACTAAAAGAACAGTTTTCTTGGAAAGGATATCGATTATATACTTATAAACTGACCTCTATATTTTATTATTGACATATGTGAAGATAAAGAATCAATGAATAAATGAAAGGTTTCATTTGGCGGATCGGGGTTATTATTTTGAAATAATAAATTTGAAATAATAGAAACATCGCATTTCGCGACAAAGGATGTTGGAACAACCGCTTCAGTTATTTGCAACCCACTGTCACGTGTTTCATCGACTTTGCGGCTGCCTTTGATTCAATTGATAGAGCGAAGCTTTGGAGGGTGATGGAACGCGACTGTGTTCCAGAGAAGAAGAGAAAATCGTTTGACTCATAAAGGCATTTTATGAGCGTACGTCGGCGCAGATCTATATATATGGGGAACTGACAGACTCCTTCGAAATAAGAACTGGTGACCATCGCGCCCTTTCTCCTACAGTATTCAACTATGTGATAGACTGAATAATGGACACCGCTTGTCGGCACTCAAGAGTGTCCAAATCAGTCCAAAGCATTGAATCACTGATCTTGAATACGCTGATGATGTAGTTCTTTAATAACGTATCAGAAACTGCAACAAGAATAGAACTCAGCGCCAATGTATGCAAAACGAAAGCCTTTTCGTCTTATGTACAAGAAGCTGATAAAATGCCTCTTTTTGTAAATTCACTGCCGGTTGAGGAAGTGCCCGATTTTAAATACCTTGGGTCCACTCTAATACCAAATAGCAAAAGACGATATTACAGCCCGGATCATGGCAGCTAGAAATGCCTTCTTTCGGTTGACGCAACCCTTACGAAAGTCCGCATCTATATAGCCGTGATTCGTTCGACCTTGCTATATGGCTCATGGCCAATGAGAGTGGAGGATATTAAGAAATTATCTGCCTTTGACCACTCTTGTCTAAGATCACGAATAGGAGAACATATTACGGATCCTTCAAGCGTATAAAATCTCACATAATCGCATTCACTCGTTCAAATACCACTCGCATAAACAATATTATCACAAAGCGTCGCCTTCGTTGGTTAGAGCACGTTCTCCGTTCTTCACCACAGGAGTACACGCATATTTCGTTACTTGCTAAACCGTATGATGGATGACGTCAAAAGCGAGGTGGACCAATCAAGACCGGACTGATAAGGACAGAAAAGATTTTGAACGTATAGGTGGACCATCAATATATGGTATCGACTTATAAGATGGAAAAAGGAATGGCTTGTTGTCAACGATAGCATCATACAGCGCCGCTTGGAAGCGTCTCACCCTTGTAGCTATTGGAGCCAGCCTAACCAGTAATGGTGAAAGGTGTTAGAAGAACTAATTAAATAAGTCAGTTGTTTACAATCATTTTTAAGATTGATTAATAAGCTTTTTTTTCACAAAATCCGCATTAAAGAACCATATTTTTTATGTTTGATATATTGTTGGATTTTGAATAGTGAAAATCGTTTACTTCATTTCGGACATTTCATTTCATATGATACGATATGCGGGCAGCGGACAATTCATTTCATTTCATAAAAATACTAATCGTTTAAACTTTCATTGAAAATTTATCCCTTTATATTTATGTTTAGTTTTATTGAAGAAATGGTTAATCGTAAATCATACTGAATTTGCTTAAAAAAATTATTGCATGTGGATACGTGGGTTAGATATCGTATTTTCGTCAAAAAAAGCACACTTAAATCTTCAAACCATGTTTTAATTTTAACAAGTTTTCTCAGAAGCCAGCAGAACTTTTAGTTTTTCTGGTCGGTAAAAAACAAAAATGTTCTAGACTCATATATCATTTTGTGCTACCACTATTTGGATCCTAGTGATGGGATCTTTAACCTTGAACACACATAGATACATCCAGTGTATTATCGAGCGCAAATAGAAAAAGAAAATTTTTCTTAAAATTTCTATAGCAGGAAATTTCAAAGAGGTTTCTCGCCGATTTTAAAGAGAAATTTAAAAATATTTTTAGTTATTTCATTTTTCAGATAGAGCCATATTTTTATAGATATTCATTTTGGCTTTATACAATTAATTATGTGTTGTTTTATTCCAGAACTTAAAAGCTTTTCATTCAGCTAGAGGATTCCTGGAAATTTACGGATTTTTCCAAGAATAATTTAAGAAGAACAAGACAATTTTTTTGTGTCATTCGAAGCGCAGAAATTTTTTACATACAAAATGATCTACAAAAAAAACGATAATCTGATGATATATCTAAATAGATTTCAGCCAAATTTCAACATTTCTTATCGAAAGATCATTGATGACTAAATTAATCACTATTAACCACTCTAACGAAGATTAGATTTAACAAATTATGAAAGAAATGAAAGCTATCTCTTTGATTAACTCCGAAATTTCTTTTTAGAACGGTGCGGAGTAATATTTGTTCGAATTTTCGATCAGATCTTCTAATACAGTTTTTAGGTCCAGCGATCCATGTGCACAGAATGGCTTTAATTGAATGAAGACTTGTTTTAAAGTGGTTAATAATGATTAATTTAGCCAGTTTTTCTCTCGGCAGTATTTCAATGATCTATTATATTTTAGGTCCATTTAACTGAATTCCTTAACTTTGACTTTTTTTCGAATAGCTCTCATCATTTCTGGTTAGTCTCGCTCAGAATAAAAGTATAGTGCGTCAAGCTATAATCCACCGAGCCATTCTACCGAGATTCTAGTTCGACATCATTTCTAATATTTTTTTCTAATATTTTTCCATATTTTTTCTAATTCCTGTGCCATATTATGCTGGTTAATCTTTCTCTGTTCCTCGTTTTGGTTATCACCACTGATGTGAAGAATTATCAACATTCTTGGTCTTTGAGCACTAGTTTACACTGTAAACTTAACGAACTGTTCGTTCAGAATTCCTTCAAGCAAGGCACCTCCAAATCACCAAAAATCATATATATTATTTATCTGGTATTTACAACATTGGGTAATAGCAAAGCATCACTACAATAACGAGCAAGTTTTAAACAATTTTCTGATTTTTTGAAAGAGTCGTTTTATTTATCAATTACTTTTAGCATAACATCAATCTGGCTTGTGGCTCTTTCGTCCTAATAGCATAAAATTTTCTTTCATTTTCAATCATATACCATTTCCATAGAAGGTTGATCCAACTTTTTCTAAATGCGGCTTATTTGTTTTCAGTCATTTGTCACGTTGAAACTTTTGAAAAAATTATTTTTTAATAAAAAATTATTTAACGCACTTCGCACTTTTCCATACTTTTAACAGATTATCTTTGATGCTATTCATATACTATAAATAATTTTAATCATGCCGTTGATAATTTTGATCATAACAATAATAATTTTAAAAATCCTAGCAATTCTCCAAATCCGACGAAATTTGCATAAAACATGAAAAACACTAATCATTCTTCAGCATCCAAAGAAAATCAAGAAAGCAAAAAAGGTTAAATATCGAAGAATTCTTAAAGTAAAATCATAAAGAATCGGTAACTAGAATTAGAATTAGTTGCTGAATGTAATTATATAGTTAAGTGTGAAATTCTAAATTCAGATTTTGAACTGCATCAGCGATTTGGGTGCAATGATTCCGATAATGACAAAATCTTTTTGGGAAAACGGGATGGAATATTCATGCACCGACAAAAATGGTAGTGATATTGACAATAGCCAGGATTTTGGCTCTGGAGAAGGTTTGAACGATTGCTATAACAATAACGAGCAAGTTTCAAACAATTTTCTGATTTCTTGTTCATCGAAAAGGTTCTTTTTTGTAGCAGTCATTTTATTTATCAAATTTTTTCTTACTTTTAGCATATCATCAGTCTCGGTTTGTCGCTCTTTCATCCTTGTAGCATAAAATTATTTCCGTTTCATGCCAGTAATCGACACTACTCGAAAAGTTGGAAAGAAAGTACCAGAACTCTTTTTCATTAAACTAATCCGCAGTGACTTTATTTCCAGTAATAAGTGATTAGCGATTGCCATTTTTGGTCAAGTTACCTTACTTACCTTAAGTATAACGAAAAATTTTTTCCAAGACATAGATTGATCACCAACACCGGATTTTTGAATGGTAGGCTTACTCTTATTTCCTGATTCCCTGATGTTCAAGGCGATAATCTAAGCAATAACGACTCCATTATCCCGTCGACTCATTCCAATATTCATAGTTTCCACCTTTCTTGAAAATTTTAAAAACTTTTGGAACAGGTAAATAGTTTAAATAATCTTTTAATAATGATGAAAATTACTGGAAATTGATGCAATCATTCATTTACAGGATAATTGCGTGTATCGATAAAAATGGTGATACATTAAAAGAAGGCTTCTTCCTCATGGGAAATAATCAATTGAAATTTTGTCGGATTTATAATAATGGAAAAAAAGCGAGGATTGAAAGTCGTGGTCAATTTTCAAGTTTTTTCTATTATCCATTGGCATTAATATTTTTGAAGCTAATAGAATCTCACCTAAAACCAAAGAAAATCGAAAGCTATTTGTAAAATGGTTGAATGATTGAAAATTTTAAAGCGATTCTATCTTTAATTTTCAACTTTTTCTCGAATCTAAAAAATCTAATCAATGCCAGGTTGTTTTATTGGTAAAGAAAACGACGATGTCATGGACGAATCCTTACATGTAAAAAAATATAAAATTTGGAGATCAGGTGATTATGACATGCGTTGTGGCGAGAATGGAGTTCATGTTTACAGGTAGAATTTTAAATTGTTATTCCCGCTTTACTCATCCGTATCCATAAAAAAAATTTCCATCAGTTATTACATCGATCAGTGTAAAATAGAGATTTGTTATAACGATCGACTAATAATTTCGAAAGTAGGTGCCACATTGGTGGTAACAAAAGTGTTTATGCCGGATCAGCATGGATCGATTCAGAACAGAATTTTAATGTGTGCTATTGATAATTTCGACCATATTAAATGTTTCCCGGTTGATTGCAATCAAGTGATATTTTAACATTTACAACTTTCTTGATATGAATTGCTCATAACTTGCCATAAAATATCTTCTCTATTGTACCAATGATATTTATTTATTTGTTATAAAATGTATCAAACTTCCTAATTTTAAGCAATGTGCATAGTAGTATGGACTATAATAAGCCGACAATTCATTAACGATTAATTGCTACACATCACAACAATATTTTATTCCTTAATTTTCTAATTTATACCCAATTAAAAGAATATTTTTTGACATAGCAACTTTATTCGAATAGAATATATTATAACATTGGTTATGCATGCGTGAATTACAATGATAAACCAGGAAGTCGCGGAACCTGAAGTTGGTGTGCTTATAATTTCCGGAACAAAACACACTACCAAAATGTTATATAATGGATGGTGACTGAAGAAATTAAAAAGAAGCGATTTATAAATCCGCACTATGCTTGTTGATTTCAATTACTTTGGAATCTGAAAAAAGTTTTGCTCTTAAATTAATTACTCTTTTCATTTGAATTATTTTCCACTTTCCCAGTTTCCCTTCAAATATATGCGAAAGGAGAATCTTTTCTTTCCCGTTTCTTTTATTCACCTATTAATTACCTTCGACTTCGTTCTAAATCCATAAGTTAGCTATTGCATTCAATAAGCAAGTAAGCAAGCAAACTGAGTATCACATCACAACAGTTGAAATAAACTATCTGATCTATCTCACCGTTTCTTATTTTCGATGCGTTTTTCTGCATAATTGGAAAATATGATTAATCAGACTTATAGATGATAGCAAAAGGAATGTACAAAATATATAAAATATAGAAATATAAAATAAAATATATAGGGAAACTATACGTACACATACATATATCAAAAAATTATGAGTAAACCGGCTGTAATTAACCCTCAAAACTGAGGTTGTCTGAAGTACAACAATAATAGACGCGAATAGAACCCTCACAACAATTTCTACTACTACTATAACAAAAACCAATGAATATACCACACCCGCTGTAATTCTAGAAATGATGGAATATAGTAAAAGTATAAGAAAATAAAAATGGATGTCGCCCTTGAAAAATGAGGTTAGAATCAGGTCACAATATAGAGAAATTAGCCAGCTGGCAGAAATAGAAATCATCCAAAAATACTATTTATTTTACCTGGAAACCCTGCATGCATAAATTAAAGATAGGACCCAGCTATTGGAAAAATATATTCCGTTTGAAGATTTAGAGAGTGTTAAACAAAGGCTTACAGCAATGGCCACCAGGCTAAGGAGATGAACGCAGAGAAACAGAGGCTAAAAAGACAAATGCTCTATTACCTAAAGAACCATCCAAGGTGTGCTTTTAATTGCAGTGCAATATAGTGACAGCAAAGCCTTCAAAAAAAAAAAACTATAAACTGAACAGTACTAGAAAAATATAGGGGAGAAAAAAAAAGATTCATAACACCACTGAAAAGCAGCTGCAAGACCTGAGAACAAGCTAAAACAATCTCTCAGAGTAGGAGCCAGTTACCATCGCAATTGATGATATCCAACAGCGGCTCAAAAACATTCGATAGCAAAAAACTGGACCTGATCCGGATATGACCAGCCTACTGAATAAAGAAACTAACAGTGTTTATTAATGCATGGCAATTATAGGTGCTACTTGAACCAGTTGCTTTCGGCAAGCTCCCACCCAGACCGATTGCGAAAGATGGTACTGATCATGAAAGACTCCAATAAGAAAACTATTCTGTCCAATTACGGACCAATAGCTTGCCTCTCGAACTATATGGAAAGTCGTATCAAGCATTATAGCCATCAAGCTACAAGATCATATGAGCCAGTATATTAGAAGGGAATATGGAACAACAGAGGCTCAAAATACCAGTTGCTTGAAAGAGGAATCGCTCAAACTCAAAATCCCGACAGACTAATCTGTGAACAGTTTGGATTGACCATAGGAAAGCCTATGACTCTGGATATGTGAACGTCTAGTTCCATATAAAGTATGAATAGGATCCTAATGATCTTTAACGAGAAGTAAATGGGACTGTGCAAAACGACATTTGAAGTCAACTCAAAACAGCTGGCACAGCTGGTTAGCGGCATATATCAAGACGATATTGCCTCGGCCGCTATTCTGCATAGTTCCAAACGCCTGCAGCCAGATAATTACAAATGAATATGGATACAAGTTCAAGAGTGCAACTATCATTAAACTATCATATCTGTCTTTTCTTCACAGACGACACCAAGTTATATGCTACTAGATCCATCGAAACAAGGATCTACAGACTGCGCAGAAAAGCCTTAGTAAATGTGCAACATACCAGCAGAGCAAGATGTAAACCAGCATGTAAATTAAAAGGCATAACTAAGCAGCTGGTTTACAGGAATATCTGCTCATTATATGGCTTAGACCTTCCCAAGATCCCAAAAAAATCATGGAGAATAATAAGGCTAAGATTCTAAGGAACTTCATCATCCAGACAAACAAACAAGTACTGACCAATCAACCAGATATCATGCTAGTAGATAAGAACCAAAAATCAGCACTGGAGATATAGTAATATCAAGTAATAAGAACATTACGAAGAAGAAATATAAGAAGCTAGAGAAATAGCAGAAATAGCAGAGACTGAACGAGAAACTAGAGAAAATGTGGAAAAGAAATGGAAGCAGTCCCAGTTGTAAAAGGAACACTAGGGCTGTAATTCTTAAACTAGAAAAATGGCTTCGACAGATTCCAGAAACGACATCAGAGATTTCTGCCCAGAAGAATGCACTACTGGGAACAGCTGAGATATTGCCCAGAACTCAAGTTGTCAGGTTTCTGTTAGAGAACCTAAAATTAAGGATAATTCATATTACCCACAGAGAGCGAGAAAAGAATTTTTTTGCAATTTTTTTACGCTCTCAAGGTAAAAACCCAAAAAATTTGGGCAGAACTTTACGTTAATAGAACTGATTGCAGAAAAACATTTTCTTTTCAGACTACTCCATAAGAAAGGCTGCAAATATCCATAATTAGTTTATATGTTTATAATACATCCTAGAGTTGCGCAAAAGCGCGAAAAGCGCAAGAAAATTGATCGCGGAGTCATACATGAAGAATTTTCCATTATCAAACCGGGCATCAAATTAAACCAAAAAATGGAAAAGTTTAAAAGGCTAGAATAAGAATATAATACAAATGAGTGACCAAAATAATTATTATAAGCGAATAAAAAACCCCACTCTAGACCCCGCTATATGTGACACAATCTTAAATCACCTTAATCTAATTTGAGCAAAAAGCCGACCTTTAAGAGTGACGAATTTTCTGCGAAATTGATCGGAAAGCCGAATATTAGTATTTTTGGTAAAAACTGTGTCAAGCGAAACTCTCATTTGTGGGCGACTGGTTACTTTATGAGTGGTAGTCGTCGAAGCGACAATTTTGAAGGTTAATCGGATTTGGCGGCGTTATATTCGATTGTTAACGGTATCACTGAAATATTTGCTCCTGGCCAAACGATTTATTTATTGCGAAAAAGACGGCACAACGACAATTCACGAGTAAATAGACAATTAACGGGCGCATACCGTTTTTTTGCAGTTTGGTTCGTTTCTGTTTTTTTCCGCATTTTTAAATTTTCCTAATGTGCAACAAAGGTGGCGCAGTGGTTGAGTGGTCTGCTGCTTCATTTGGCGTCAAGTAGTTGCGTTTAATTCGTTTGGCAAGAGTGGATTCATCATTCTGAATCTGAAGTTCTGGTCGTGTTTAGGACCCATCTGTAATTTCTCTGCTCTGAGAAAATGGTGGAAGTAAGTAGAATCAGTTAAACCAAAAAATGCTGAAGATGAAAGGAAATCACGAAGCTTCAGATCCTTTTGTCCGTGAGAAAATAATACGAAGATGGCGGGAAATTAACGTTGCTTATCGCTTAGAAGCACATTTTGGAGACATGCTGAGATTTACACTTAATTCCTATATTTTTCAATGATGGCTTTCGGAAAAAAAAGTCTGTAGAATCGTGGAATTAAAGTTGAAAGCTTGATAAGGGCGGTTGACATGACGGTGTTACAGGTCTCTGAAGCCATAAGGTTAAGGGCAGACGAATGGATGGGTTTGTCGTATATTGTCGTGTTGTGAGGCGGGAGTTCGGCCACTGTTCCCCAGCGGTAAACCTGCAAACCCAGATATATAGTGGTAGCTCACTTATTTTTCTGTTCTTCTGTAGCCACCTAATTCCTTGGCAAAATTACTCGAAGAATGCATAATCAGAAATGGTAAGCCGATTAAGGCTATGCAGTTTTATAATTTGTAATGTGTATGTATAATGTTGAAAAAAAAAATGGAAATTTGTCTATAAAAATTCATTGACTTCAAGTTCACGTAAAATTTTTCGTTTAAGCATTTTCTCCGTATAATTTTGTAACAGATGATTCCTAGCTTTCGTGAAATTATTAAAACATTTCTTAACTGTTACAAGACTCTTGTAAGGAACCTCCTATCCTAACTTTCTCGAAAAGAAATTTTGTAATTTTCATTTGGTTTTAATGCTTTCACCTTATGTTTAAATTACATTGTTGACGCATAAAAAAGTTGAGACCATTAGTTTAAGAATAATTTTGTGAATTTCCAGCAGCGTAAGCCTTTTTATTCAAATGTTTGTAGAAATAATTTCAAAAATGAAAAAAATAATGGTTTAAATTTTCAATGGTTTAAATTGTGCAAGATTTGGTTATTCAATGATATTGATTTGGCGATGGACTGATTAATGCAGTCTTTTTGTTCGCGAAAATTTTTCGAATTTTCTTTTTGAGTTATTTGAAATTCTTAAAATATAAAGGATAAATAATGTGTAATGTTTTTTCTTAAATGTTTTTATAAACAAGCTGAGGAATTTGATTTTCAAGGAGTTGTTTTTGTCAACAAGTAGGGATAAGTGATGGATAATATGGTCGAATGGTTTGTGGATTACTTTTTCAAAAATTATGGTTCTTGTGGATTACTTTTTCAAAAATTATGGTTCGGCTCCTGACCCTTGACAGGAATAAATCTCTTTAATAAATATTCGGAAGACTCGATGAAGCGTAAAATGCTTAAACATGAGTGGTTAAAATTAGATTACTTCTTAATATATCCTTTACTCTCATCGGTCATGTCTCGCGATCATATAGCACGGTCAAGCGAATCGCACCTTTATAGATGCGCACCTTTGTTTTTAATGATTTCGTTACGATTCGATAAAGGTTTTGTCAACCGGAAGCACACATTTCTAGCTGCCGTTCTCTGAGCTATAATTTCTTTTTTCGTTTGGGATTGGAGTGGATCGAAGATATTTAAAGTCTGGCGCATTGTCAACAGGCGTTGAATTGGTAAAAAATAGCTATTTTATCAGCTTCTGTTATATAGGAAAAGATTTTCGTTTTATTCAGATTAATCCTGAGTCCGATTTTCACTGCAGCTGTCGACACATTATTTAAATTTGTCACCACATCTATTCGTTTAATTTTTTTTTGTTTTTTATATATATAGTTTAAAATTTACAATTTGATTTATAATTTTACTTTTAAATCTTTGTTTTAAAATTTAAAAAAACTTAGTTTAATTGCAGAAATTTTTAAAGCTCCAAAAGTAATATAAGAAAAATAGAAACGACCGTAAAAAATTAAACCTTTCAAAAATTTTATATTATGGTCTATCTACTAACTTAATTATTCATTCTGATCTGCTTTTTTTGGAATTTTTGAGGTTTTCATTGAATTAATGATTTCGGGAAGTGAAGTGGACAACTGTAGCAGTGATATTGAACCAGTTAGAAAGAAACCTCGCATCGATACATTCATTGAACGTTCTAGTGAAATAGTACAGGAACCAAATAGTAATCGCGTCAGTTTCATTTTCCTTGAATATTTCATAATTTTTTTTATTCGTAAAATTCCTAAATTTGTATCTTAAATTTTCCTGGTTTTTTTATAGAGTAAAGCGGTAAAATAAAAAGCAAAGGAAATAAATTTTTCAGAAGGAGCAGCCTATTAAATTAGACACAATGGGTCACGGTCATGTTAGAAGTGCCCATGAAAATCATGAGACTAATTCTCATTCTGAAAACATTTTGGATGAGAATTTATATTCTCGCCAGATGTAAGTTCATTTTTTAGCACTTTTTTGCAATTTTTACATATATGTATATATATTGTTTATATTTATAAAAAGTTTACTTCGTCCTTTCTTAATGGTCTTCGTTAAAAATAGAGGAATATTGCTATATGTTTAAATTTGTCAATTTTGTCTTAAGTGGAAAAAAATTTTTCAGCAGCATAATGTTTTGATAATAATGTAATAGTAGAATAATATTGTGATTCAATATGGTTCAGATACACATTGGGAGAATCAGCAATGATGCATCTTCGGAAGTCATCGGTGCTGGTATCTGGGATCGGTTCAGTAGGTGTTGAAATCGCAAAAAATCTCATACTTGGTGGTGTACGTCAAGTAACTTTACATGATACGGCTAATGCACAGTGGATAGATCTAAGTGCGCAGTATTATTTAAATCAAAAAGATTTGGGACACAATCGGGCAGCTGCAAGTTTCGAATATCTTGCTGAATTAAATGATAGTGTAACTTGCAGCCTTTCAGTCGACGCTCTTACTGAAGATTTCGTCAAAAAATTTGAGGTAAATTGGTATTATTTCTACATACATCGTTTCAAAATATCAGTTGTTCATATTCATATCACAGATTTCATTTTTAGCTTATAGTATTGGCGGATTCATCGCTTTCAGTGCAACTTATGGTTAATGAGTGGGCTCGTAAACATGGGCGATATTTTTTAAGTGCTGGTGCATGTGGTCTTTTCGCATATATTTTTCTCGATTGTGGAATTAATTTTAAAATTGCTGATGCTACAGGTGAAAAGTGCAAGGAGGTTATTGATATGCAATATTTTATTTTGTCCGTTTCTGATTCTTTTTAAATTCTGCCTAAATTTTTTTGCCAATTTAAGTGCAGATAAATGCGATTTTTGATTATTTATTTATTGAAAACCAGCCAAGCAGGGCGCAAACGCCATGTGCTTGTATTAATAACATCAGTTAAAATAACAAATAATAAGAATTAATGACAAATAACAAAAAAATAATATTAAAATAAACAATTTAAAGATGAAATAAAGAGGATATTGCAAAATAATAAAATATAGCACAATTCGAAATAACTATAATTGTATGGTAAAAATCACGATTTCACATTTCCTGCATGATGTGAATTTTTTAAATAATATCATGAATGATAATATCTAATCTTTTTTTAAAGATAGCTAGGGATGGCGCACAAACTATGTCGTTCGATAATTTATTCCAGAAATTAATATTACGAATAAAGAAATCATGAGTCCTTAGTTTAGTTTTACACATAGGCTTTAATAATTTTAGCCCATTAGTTCTTGTTGTATTTAAATTTAACCTAAAATTATAATATTTTGAACAATCTAATTTAACATATAAAATCTTATAAGTATGAATAAGTATAAATTAAATCTTGTTTAATACGACGAACTGACAGAGAATCCAGGTTACATTATTGAAGTTTTCTTTTATAATTAGAATTGCAGTTAGGAGAGAAGCGTCGTATAAAATATTTTTGAAGTTTTTCCTTCAATTATTTTGCTTGATTTACGATATCTCGGGGAGTAACATGTAGCATTGTAGTCAGGAATTGGCCGAACGAAACACTTTGTACATTTTGATATGAAAATCTTCAGTTTTTGTTTTTAAACGGACGAAAAATAAAATTTAAGGATTTCTTTACTATGGTTCTGCAGTGAAGGTCGAAATCGAGATTTTTATCCACGATTATACCAAGATCGGAAATGTGCGAGATTGTACTGATTATATTGCCATTAATTAGGAAAATTGGAACTTTTGGAATTGATATAAAGAACGCTACATTTTTGAAAGGAAAGGATAATTTATCTATCATATAGCCAGCTGGCTATTCTATTAAAGTCCTCCTGCAGTGGAGATAGACCATCTGATCTACCATGAGAATAATAAATTTTATAATCATCAGCATGTAGATAAATAGTAGATTTAAGTACCACAAGATAGATTCTTTTATGGTTAACCAGTTCTTTTAAGAGGATGAAGGATGAATAAAATTTTCAACTTTTTGGTGCTAGAGTACTTTTGGTATCGTATATTTATGGTTTCTTCTTCTTTTAACATGTGTTTCATATCACCATTACTGGTTGGGCTGGCTGCAATAGCTACAAGGGTGAGAAGCTTCCTAGCGGAGCCATCTTATGCCATCGTCGACAGCAAAAGAAGCCATTCCTTTTTCCATCTTATAAGTCCATATACTGCTGGTCCACCTATTCGTTCGAAATCTTTTCTGTCCTTATCAGTCCGGTCTTGATTGGTCCACCTCGCTTTTGACGTCATCCATCATACGGTTTAGCAAGTAACGAAATATGCGTGTACTCCTGTGGTGAAGAACGGAGAACGTGCTCTAACCAACGAAGGCGACGCTTTGTGATAACATTGTTTATGCGAGTGGTATTTGAACGAGTGAATGCGATTATGTGAGATTTTATACGCTTGAAGGATCCGTAATATGTTCTCCTATTCGTGATCTTAGACAAGAGTGGTCAAAGGCAGATAATTTCTTAATATCCTCCACTCTGTCGAACGAATCACGGCTATATAGATGCGGACTTTCGTAAGGGTTGCGTCAACCGAAAGAAGGCATTTCTAGCTGCCATGATCCGGGCTGTAATATCGTCTTTTGCTATTTGGTATTAGAGTGGACGCAAGGTATTTAAAATCGGGCACTTCCTCAACCGCCAGTGAATTTACAAAAAGAGGCATTTTATCAGCTTCTTGTACATAAGACGAAAAGGCTTTCGTTTTGCATACATTGACCCTGAGTCCTATTCTTGTTGCAGTTTCTGATACATTATTTTGCATTACCTGAATTTCATCATAACTGTCAGCAAGAAGGACTACATCATCAGCGTATTCAAGATCAGTGATTTAGATGCTTTGGACTGATTTGGACACCCTTGAGTGCCGACAAGCGGTGTCCATTACCCAGTCTATCGCATAGTAGTTGAATATTGTAGGAGAAGGACGCATCTTTGATGGTCATCAGTTCTTATTTCGAAGGAGTCTGTCAGTTCCCCATATATACAGACCTGCACCAACGTACGCTCATAAAATGCTTTCGAATGATCTTCTCTGGAACGTCGTTATGTGCCATCACTATCAAAAGCACCGCTCTATCAATTAAATTGAAGGCAGCCGCAAGGTCGATGATAGTAGGTTGCAAATATCTGGAGCGATGTTCCAACACCCTTCTTTTAACGTGAATATCTAGTCAGCACAACCGCGCTCCGATCTGAATCCAGCTTAATTAAGGCCCATCCTGCTGTTTCGTACTTCCATAAGTCTGTTGAGTAATAGGGAAGCAAAAATTTTCGCTGAAACGTCTAGTAGGCTGATTCGTTGATAATTATCGCAGTATGTCCTATCATCTTTCTTGAGAATTGAAGCAGAATTGCTTTGCTCCAATCATCTGGTAATATTTCTTTTCCCATACTAACGAGTACATTTGTTGAAGGTACGTTTTAAGAGATAATGGACAACTATATTTACTATATTTGAAAAGCTCAACACCGAAGACCATCTTCTCCTGCAGTATTATTGGCCTTAAGCTAACAGATAACAGATATTCTTATTATTATTATTTATTTATTATATATTATTATATTTATTATATATTATATATTATTTATTCTTCTGTCGGAGGCTCGCAGTTGAAGGCATATGGTTCAGCGAACGTATCAGTTACATCAGGGGCAACAGATGGCGCTTCATGGTCAAGTTTGGCCTCAAAGAATTCTTTCCATCTTAAGAGGCAGTCCTTAATACTTTTGACTGGCACGCCATTGCTGTCCCTTACCATTTCCGTGATCGTTCCTCGAATTGTAGTTGGTTATTTTATGAAGAAGGCGGAATAGCTTCCTATTATCGCCTAATTGAGCCGTAGCCTCCATTCTTGAGGCCATGTCACTCCAGTAATGATTTCTCTCCCACTGTGCTGCTTTCGTTGTAAATCTTCGAAGTATCCGGTAGTCAGGATCACCTGACATGCGTGCTTTGATAGTTTTTTCAGACAGTTGCTTCCAATACCCAACTAGCACACCTCCTTCTAGTATGCCCTAGCGTGGAAGTGGATGACTTTCGGAGACATTCCTTTAACTTGGACTAGGATTCATTTGTCGTTCCAGAAAAGTCATTGATATTTGTATCACTGAGATGCTTCAATAATTCAATTTGAAATTCGCTCATTGCCCGCGAATTTTTTAGTATGAGATAGCTTAATGATCTTTGGGGACGCTGTTTTCTGTGAGTTTTCAGTTTTATGGGGATCTTGGCTCGAACCATAACATGGTCAGATCCATGAAGACTGCCCGTCTCATCGCCACGATAAAAATATCTAGTACAGAACTCTTCCAATGGCCATTGACTAAGGTGTAATCAATCTGGTTGAAGTGTTGGTTATCCGGGGAATCCCACGTGTCTAAATGTTTTCTACGATGCCGATTTCCTCATTGGCACACCGGTCTCCGATGTCATATTTGCCAATTGTCGAGGTCATCGCAGCGGCATTGTGATTTACGTGCGCATTCCAGTCTCCCTCGATTATGACCATACCATGTTGCGGCAGAGACTTTGTTAGCAGTTCCACATAGAATTTATCTTTATCACGGTCATCTGCCGACAGAGTTGGAGCATAAACACTGATGACCGAGATATTGCACAATTTACCTTCAAAACGGGGATAGGCCATACGATCGCTTACCGGTTTCCACTCAATCAAAGCGGAATGGGATTTTTCAGATGTGACAATCGCTACGCCATTTCGCCCCGAGTTATACGAAACACCACAATGATATCTCCATTATCTCTGCTCCGAACGAGGATTAATTATATTCGAGACCGAAATTAGGAAGTCGGACCTCCGACAAGCAAGCGATATCCACACAATATTTAGAAAGAGTGTGGATAGTGATCGCTTGGCTTGCAACATCCATAAGAGTTCTAACGTTCTATTCTGATACGGCTGAAACCACGCCACGCGTGGAGAGAACTGTTCCCTTGACAAGTTTCGAGCAATCCTGGCTTGCGAGAGCATTTTATTTATCAACCTTGGGATCGCTTTAATTGGAGTATCATGCGCGTTGGAAGACGCGGACGCCGTATCAAAAATACTTGACCCCTTTGCTACGAAGTTGCTTGGAGATAAAGGTGGGGAGATACAGGTGGATATCCAGCAGCCATCCGGATTTTTGATGGCAGATTTATTCTTGCCATAGACAATTTAAAGACATTAAATTTAAAAATATTAAAGTAGATATTTTAAAGAAAAATAAAAGGATAAAAAGGCAATTAAATCTTTAGAAAAAAGAAAATGTATATATATATATATATATATGTGTTTTTGCACAAATTTTTTCACCGTAGATTTTTATTGTTTCTCTTTGTTTCATAAAAGGCTTTAAAGGTCATGATCGAACACATAGATAAAGAGACTGGTGACGTAGCCACTCTTGAAGATGCTATACATGGATTTGAGAGTGGAGACCATGTGACATTTTCTGAGGTTGTAGGTATGGCGGAATTGAATGGAATTGATCCTATCGAGATTAAAGTGAAAAGTAATTCTTAAATTCTGGTTTTTTGAAACTGTATCAGTAGGGACAAATATTCGTCGAGTATTTTTGAATTTCATTTTGCATTTTATAGGTCCTAGCGTTTTTAACATTGGCACCGTTGTTAAAGAATTTTCGCCGTATGTGGAAGGCGGCCGTGCTATTGAAATAAAGGTTCCGAAGTATGTAACTCATAAATCATTAGTTGAATCGCTTAAAACACCAGAGTTTCTTGTATGGGATTTTGCACACGCTGATTATCCGCGGCAGCTGCATTTGCTTTGGCAGGCGTTGCATGCATATGAAGCAAAGGTTACATTTTTATAAATCTATATTTTTTCGTTTTTTAAATTCTCTAAATTTCTCTTTTTCAATTCAATTCAATTTTCTTATTTGTTTTTACATAATAAAACTTATCTTTAGTATAATCGTAAACCACTTCCACGAGATGATAATGATGTCCTCTTGTTAAAAGCAGAATTGCCACTCCAGAATGATGTGGAAATATCCGAAGATCTTCTTAAAAACTTCAGCTACCAAGTAAGGTATTTTTGATTATTGGTTGTCTAGTAGATAATATTCTTGCCCTTTCTCTTTGTTAAAATCTCTTTTAGTTTTATCTTATGGAGGAAACTTTCATGGTATCTTTATAAGACAATAAATGGAGTATTTCGACTTCATTTCAATGCACCGATAATTGTTTATAAATTTCATTCTCTTGTGATTGAAGAATTCCATTTTCCCCTTTTTGGTCGAGAATGTAATTTTTTTTTTAAATAGGCAAGGGGCAATTTAGCTCCAGTCGCATCAATAGTTGGTGGTTTCGCAGCTCAAGAAGCAATGAAGGCAGTTACTCATCACATGACTCCCCTTAACCAGTTTCTTTATATACATTGCTTGGATGCGCTTCCTGGTAAACATTCTGATTTTAATACAACCAAAATGTCGGCGCAAGATTATGAGCCCGTAAGTTAACGATTTTCTATTTTTTATTTTTTATACCTTATTTTTTTTAGGAAAAAATGGGTAATATTAAGAAAAGAAGGGATGGATTGGACAACATTCATTTCAATGGCTGTATTCATTGTCACTCAATTTTGCTTTTATATTTTTCAGAAGAATTCACGGTATGATGGCCAGATTGCTGTGTTTGGACACAAATATCAAGAAGCTTTGATGTCGCAAAAATTTTTCATTGTTGGTGCAGGTGCAATTGGCTGCGAATTGTTGAAGAATTTGGCAATGATGGGTGTGGCTTGTGGTGATGGTGGTAAAATAAAGATCACCGACATGGATCAAATTGAAATTAGTAACCTAAACAGACAGTTTTTGTTCAGGAAGAAAGATGTTGGGGTATTGTACATGGATTTTTTCGCAAAAAATACTGTTGGCATTACATTTTCATTACATTTTTACTAAGTATTTTTTAATCATTTGCAAGGTTCTATTTGTTTTGCAGAGTAATAAAGCAAGCGTAGCTGCTAAAACTGTGTTGAATTTCAACAGAGATCTCAAAATTGAGGCGTATAAAGAGCGGGTATCGATTGAAACGGAATCGATTTTCAACGATCAGTATTTCGCCGATCTGAACGGAGTTATCAATGCTCTTGATAACGTTGATGCTCGTTTGTTTTCGCTCTTACCTGTTTTGATATTTTTAAAATCAATGCTTTTCATAGCGATTCAGATTCGTTCTATTAATTTGAAATAAAATATAAAGACAGACGTTTAGTCCTTTGAGTTTTGGTTAAATTATCGTGAACTGCTCCACTCGGGTGGTCGTTGTTGCATCTGACATCTGACGTCGAACATCATAGATTCGATTTCCCCTTTATTCTATCAAAATTATATAAAAATCTCATCCTTTTTGATTCATGGTTTACAGGGCGATATATGGATCGACGATGTGTTTTCTATCGATTGCCTTTGTTAGAATCTGGAACACTGGGTACAAAAGGAAATACTCAAGTCGTTTATCCTTATTTGACTGAATCATATAGGTTATTAATTTAAGTTTGTGGGAAGATTTTTTCATTTTTGTCAGACTTTTAATGACGGTGCTTAATAATGCTTATTCAATTCGTTCTATTAATATTTACAAGTATGTTTTCCGTTTTTACTAATAATTTAAGGGCTTAATCTTTCGTTGTTTTTAGCTCCTCGGTCGATCCACCTGAAAAAGAAATACCTATATGCACATTAAAAAATTTTCCGAATGAGATTCATCATACTATACAGTGGGCTCGTGATTTGTTTGAAACTCTTTTCAAGGAACCAGCGGAACTATCTGCCCGTTTTCATCAAGACCCTAGACTATTTCTAACTCGTCTTGATCAGATGAATGGTGGCCAAAGAGTGAACTTTAATTTTTTTTATCTCTATTTTATTTACGTTGAGTTTAGGCAAAATTTATTGTTATGTAAGACATAAATAAATAAAGCATGACGGTAACATCTGACAAGCATCAGGAATATCCTTAAATACATTTTTTTACAGCATATGTTTATATTTTTAATTTAAGATCCAGATACTTGAACAGCTTATTGAATCAGTTGCGGATAAAAAAACGGATACGATCGAAAAATGTGTTGCCTGGGCTCGGAATCTTTTTCAAGTAAATCCAAAAATTGCGGAATTTCCATATATATTTATAAAACTGGTAATATTATTTTTGCAGGAGATATATCATAATAACATAGCACAGCTTCTTCATACTTTTCCTCCAGATCAGTTAACCGATCACGGAGGAAAATTCTGGTCAGGGACAAAAAGATGTCCACATGTTTTAGAATTCGATTGTAATAAAGTAGGTTTTCATAATTAATATTGCTGTGGCAATGCATTAAAAATATTTTAATCTTAATGCCAATGTTTTGGTCATTTGGAGTGAAATATGATTTCCAGTTTCTTTTACCAGTTTTATTTGAGGAAGAGCACTTTAACTTTGTCTATTCTGCTTCCCTTTTACGAGCCCAGCAGTACAGTGTTCAACCAGTTTTGGATCGGAAAGAGTTCATATCATTAATTTCAAAGGTGAAAATTTATTTTTCGGCATATATGTGGTGTTCATTGAAATTGTTGATCTTTTTTCATATTGTTATTTTAATAAAAATAGTTCGTATGTTTTTTTTTAAATGGATGATCCTAATAGAAAAGTCATTTCGCTCAAAGTTTTTAAGGTTCAAGTACAACCATTCATTCCTAAAGCCAATGTGAAAATTGCCGTTAATGACAGTGAACAGAAGCAACAGAATGAGGAGATCGAAGGTAATTGAATTTATTGCGGCGCGGCTTTTTTTTTTTAAAGCATATAACGGGCATTCCTTTTTGTTCTAGATTCCAATGAAAAACTCGTGACCCTAAAAATACGACTAGGGAAATTGAAAACAAAGGATCTGGCGCATCCTGTGCCAATTGATTTTGAGAAGGATGATGACAGCAACCATCATATAGAATTTATTACGGCTGCTTCCAATCTTCGCGCTGAAAATTATGATATTCAACCAGCCGATCGCATGAAGGTATCAGTAGTTGGTGTTATGAGTTATTTTTGTACTCATCGCATTTAATATCATAGTTTTTATGTTTATTTTTTTTGTCAGACCAAACAAATTGCTGGACGAATAATACCTGCCATAGCGACGACAACTTCTGTGGTTGCTGGTCTTGTCATGGTTGAATTATATAAGCTGATTTTAAATGCAAGCGGGAAAATTTCACGAAATATTCCATTAAGTACATTTAAATGTGCTTTTCTTAACCTTGCGTTGCCATTTGTCGGATTCGGCGAGCCAATAGCTGCTTCAGAGAAAAAGGTGGTCTCTATAATTCCGAATTTTCATATCATTTTAGAAATCTTTTGTTAAAATTAATTTGTTCATTAAATTGCTTTTTAACACCATTACACAATTTGTGTGGCCCTGGTTGGATGTACTTTTAGAATGCAACCGTATTTTTGAAACTGGTATGTTAATCGTCAATTTAAATATTTTTGAGTTGTTTTGAGTAATTCTGGCGATTATTAGATAAAATTTTTTCAGTATAACGAGAAAGTTTTCACCTTGTGGGATCGACTTGAAGTGAAAGGACCTTTAACTTTAAGTCAGTTCATTGATTGGGTTCAGGTAAAATATTTCGTTCTTGCCAATTCTTTTTTATAGAATATATTGCCAAGTGAAACTGGAGGCCACTATGTGGTTTTATCGTACTCTAATTGATCGTTTTCTTTTATTTAAAATGGAAGCAGAATTAAAAGTAATAAAACTTTTTAAAGGAGGAAACAGGGTTGAAAGTTTCAATGATTTCCTCCGGCGTGTCACTTATTTATAGCTTCTTTATGAATGCAGCTAAGCGTGCAGAGCGAATGAAAATGGAGTAAGTTTTTCTTTATGCACTTAAGTTAATCAAAAAATATTTGGCAAAGATTGGTGTGCCTTTTCAAACAATTTTTGAAAATTGCAAAAACAGTGGAAATTTTGTTTTAAAGATTTTACCATAATTTTTTTATTATTGAATTTTTGGTTATTTGGTCGATTTAAGGCTCAGATCGGTTGTGGAGGACGTTTCACGTCAAAAGCTTCCTGCTTATGTGCATTCTATTGTGCTAGAAGTGGTAGTTACTGATGAAAATGATGCTGATGTTGAAGTACCTTATGTATTGTATGTCTTTTGATACGGCTGATGCATAACGATTGTAATATCTTCTTATTTCGGAATTTTTTATTGCTCGACCCTTTTTTCATATTAAACTAAGGTCACATTAAGATTAGTGAATCCAGCTTTTCAAATTTTCCCAACTTCGTTTTCCTTTGAATGTTTACTGCTTCATATTCATTTTTGATGACACAATTTATATTTTCGGTGAAAGTAAGTTCACATTTATTGTTCATTTCAGTTTGATTTTTTGGTTTATCATAATAAACTATTTTATTTATTGTATTTTTTCATTGTTTTTTAATATGAAATTAATATGACTTGTAATATGAATGGCAGGGTGTTGAAATTATTGGCTGCGAATAAGAGAAATTCTGAAATTCATATTTATGTTCAGTTGTTTGTGGCACCTTCAAAATGAATTTGCGGAGATTAAAAGGTGAAGGGAGGTTGTATAGTTCAAATAATATTTGCTTTGGCACATTGCCGTTGGTTAGAATGTATTCTTCGTCGCCTATCATAGAATTTGACACATTTTATTACTTGCCTGTGATGGTTGGCCTCAAACGCGAGATGGACCAATCAAGACCTGGACTGATGGAGTTAGGAAAGATTCTGAACATATACGTGCGCCAGCGATATATGAACCTAGCCGATGGAAAAACAAATGGATTCTATTATCGTCCGGCGACCGTGCCGGTGTTGAACAGCTTGGGAACGTCTCACACTCTCAGTGGAGCCAACCTAAGCAGTAATGGTGAGAGCTGTTTGAAGAAAAAATTGAAAAAAGTTTAAAAAATACCGAAAACCGGAGCGGAAGGTTTCGTTACAAGATAAAATGTTGAGAACAGGAAATTATTCAATGCGGAACTGAGCATTAAAATAAATTTATAAGTAAATAATATAACTTTAAATAGAAACTCTGCAGTGAAAATCGAGATCTATCACTAAATCTGAATGCGATCATGATATTTTATCCACTTAGCGGACCCCTAAAATATACCTTAGACAAAAGTGGTCAAAGGCAAATAACTTCTTAATAACTCCACTCTCATTGATCATGATTCAGAGCCATATTGCAAGATCGAACGAATCACGGCTATATAGATGCGGACTTTCGTAAGGGTTTCGTCAACCGAAAGAAGGTATTTCTGGCTACCATGGTCAAGGCTGTAATGTCGTCTTTTGCCTGTCCATTTGGTATTAGAGTGGACCCAAGGTATTTAAAATCGGTCACTTCCTCAACCGGCAGTGAATTTACAAGGAGGCATTTTATCAGCTTCTTGTACATAAGACGAAAAGGCTTTCGTTTTGCATACATTGACCCTGAGTCCTATTCTTGTTGCAGTTTCTGATACATTATTTTGCCTGAATTTCATCATAACTGTCAGCAAAAAGGACTACATCATCAGCGTATTCAAGATCAGTGATTTAGATGCTTTGGACTGATTTGGACACCTTTGAGTGCCGACAAGCGGTGTCCATTACCCAGTCTATCGCATAGTAGTTGAATATTGTAGGAGAAGGACGCATCTTTGATGGTCATCAGTTCTTATTTCGAAGGAGTCTGTCAGTTCCCCATATATACAGACCTGCACCAACGTACGCTCATAAAATGCTTTCGAATGATCTTCTCTGGAACGTCGTCATGTGCCATCACTATCAAAAGCGCCGCTCTATCAATTAAATTGAAGGCAGCCGCAAGGTCGATGAAACACGTGATAGTAGGTTGCAAATATCTGGAGCGATGTTCCAACACCCTTCTTTTGACGTGAATATCTGGTCAGCACAACCGTGCTCCACTCTAATCCAGCTTGATTAGGGCGCATCCTGCTGTCTCATATTTCCATAAGTCTGTTGAGAAAAAGGGAAGCAAAAATTTTCTAGCTGAGACGTCTAGTAGGCCTCGATAATTGTCGCAGTATATCCTATCACAGTATGTCCTAGTATCTTAAGAATTAGGAGAATTGCTTTGCTCCAATCATCTGGTTATATTTTTTTTTCCTTACTAGAAAATGCATTTGTTGAAGGTGCGTTATGAAGGACGATGGACAACATTTAAACATTTGAAAAATTCAGACCATCTTTTCCTGGAATTTTATTGGCCTTAGGCTTCTGGATAACAGATAATATTTCTTTTCTGCCCGAGGCTTGCAACTGCAAGCGTATGCGAACTTATCAGCTATGCAACAGATGGCATTTCATGGTTAAGTTTTGCCTCAAAGAATTCTTTCCATCTTATGAGGCGGTCCTTAATATGCTTGATCGGCATGCCATTACTGTCCCTTATCATTGTACTAGTCGTTCCCAGAGTTATAATTGCTTTATCAAGAAAGCGGCATAGTTTCTTATTATCGCCTAATCGAGCCGCCGTCTCCATTATCAAGGCCATTTCATTCCAATAATGATTTCTGTCCCGCACTGCTTTCGTTGTAAATCTTCGAAGCACCGGGTAGTCGGGATCACCTGACATTCGCGTTTTGACAACATTTTCAGACAGTTGGATAGTTGCTTCCGATATCCAACTGGTGCACCTCCTATTAGTATGCCCTAGTATGGAAGTGGCTGACTTTCAGAGATATTCCTTTAATTTGGACCAGTATTGATTTGCTATTCATTTGCCGTTCCAGAAAAGTCATTGATATTTGTATCATTGTGATGCTTCAATAATTCGATTTGAAATGCCTTACTGTCCCCGAATTTTTTAGTTTGAGATAGTTGAAAGATCTTGGGGTATGTTGTTTTCTGCGAGTTGTTAATTTTATGCTGATCTTGGCTCGAACCATAACATGTCCAGATCCATGAAGATTGCCCGTTTTAGCGCTGCGATAGGAACGACTACCTAGTATGGGACTCTTTCAACAGCGACTAAGACATAATCAATCTGGTTGAAGTGTTGGTTCCACGTAATTAGATATCTTTTATGATGCCGGAAGCAAGTACTTGTAACGAAAAGATCATAACGAAGAAGGCGTTCCCTGTTGCCGCATCAGTCTCCGATGGCATATTTACCAATTGCCAAGGTCATCTCAGCGCCATTATGACCTACGCACGCATTCCAGTCTCCACCGATTATGACCATATCATGTTTCCGTAGAGGCCTTGTTAGCAGTTGAGGTTCCGCATAGGACTTATTTTTAAAACGGTCATAAGCCATACAGTCGCTTACCGGTTTCCACTCAATCAAAGCGGAATGGGCCTTTCAGACATAATTGTTAATCGCCATTTCGCAATGAGTTACCCGGAAACATCATAGCGATATAACCAGTACCTCTGCTCCGAGCCAGGATTAGTAATTATTCGAGACTCGAAATGAGAAAGACGAAATTCCGACAAGCAGGCGATATCTAAACCATATTTAGAAAGGGTGTGGACAGTGATCGCTTGGCTTGCAACGCCCATTAGCGTTCTGACATTCCACTCTGATAGGGCTAATACCTCGCCTCGCCGATCGTGCAAAGAGCTCCCCCTTAATTGGCAATTACCCTGGCCTGCGAGCACATTTTATTTGTCAGCCTTGGGATCGCTTTAGGCCTGGATTGTATCACATGTACCACCGGGCTGGGAGTATCATGCGCGTCGGGAGACGCGGATGTCGTATCAAAAGTATCTGGCCTTTTCACCACAAAGTCACTTGGGGATAGAGTTACAGGTGGGTACATATCATTTCTTACTTGGATAACTAAATCTTCCACAAAAATTATTAAAGGATAGAGGCAGATGTGTTGATTCATGGTTGGTTCCATTTTAATTATTTACTTCAAACAATAAACGCAGCCCTTCGCCAAATTTTTTTCTTTGTGAGCTGAGATTGACAGCTGAGATTGTTCCAGAGAAGAATTCAATTTGTTTTACAAGTCTGCATTTTATCTTTTTAATGCAAAAACTGTTTTGCAATAATGATTAGCAGATTATTAGATGATTTTATTGCCCGATTCTGAGATAATTTTTCGCAGTTTATATTAAGATGTATGATAAAATTTTGGGCTGAATTGCACAAAATTTTGGCAGCTACTGGCTATCTCTCGAAATTACGTTTATTAGCTTCGATAAACATTCATTAAATTAAAGAGATTTTCTGAGATTTTTGCCTAATTTCTTTGTCCTAATTTTTCGATGGCTGCTTGAGAATTTTCTTGCAGACGAGCTGATACTTAAACTTATGTATACAACTAACTATCGGCAGTTGGAGAAACATTTATTGGGCTTAGTTATTTACAGTCTTTAAAGCCTATTCTTACATTCCATTCAAATTTTAACCAACTAATTGATTTAAAAAATATCTACCCCACTTTTGCTTGTTTATAATTGACATAACATGGTGGCATTGTTTTTTGACTGATTCTGGCTAACTGAGAATGACCACTCCTACTGTAGGCCCGCAATTTTAGTTACTTTTTCTGGATATAAATTTGGTAAAAAAAATTCTGCCATATTTTAAATGGTAATTTTGAAAAACGGATGTAGTATTTTTTCTCTTAGTTCGCTTTGAACCTTAGATTTATGAAGGACTTTTATTTTTTACCACCAACCAAATTTGTATTTCCCCTGATTTTGGTGTAATTTTATTGTTATTCCTAAAGTAAGACCTTAAGCTGCCCGTTAGATTTCTTTTATTCATTCATCAATTTCCTATTTTTTGAATTAAATTAACGCAAGAAAACTTGATATTAATAAACTTAATAAACTTAATAACTTAATATTAGGCAAATATTTCTTCCGTGATTTTTATTTCCATTTAAATTATTTTGATAAAACGTTAAAATTTGTTAAGATTTCCAATTAAGACGAAATAAAAAAGTGTTCAGCAAAATTTATGAATTATCCATTCAAAAATTGGTAAACGGAAAACTGCTGAAGTTAATTAACATTCATTTAATTATCTTTTATTCCCATAAATGATGTGATTGTTCAACTTACATGATTGGCATTACTGAAATCATTTGAGATAAAAATTCATTTAAATGTTGAAGTTGAAAGGTTCGATTTTGACATTCCGTTTGCGATCGATATAGACAA